CTGGGGCAAACTAAAACAAATACATGTTATTTAACATATTAACCTACATAGAACATGTTGGGCAAACTACAACAAAATTACCTAACTGATAATCTATATAGTAATGGCACCTATAGAACTATCGGCCAACGTTCTCAGACTTTCCATGACTAGCCACGACAATGACACACTCTCCACCGTATGGACACACCACATTCATGGTGACGGACCACAATTGTTGTACCTGCAATCATTAGAATAACAAATTAAACGTCACATACGGGTGATTGGGCATATAGAGTGGAAGGGGAGCTGGGAATTTCGTCGAATAGATGACAGTCAATGATTGTATCTATTCGAAATCCCACCACCGTTCTCCTCTCTCCTCCCCCATACCGCAATGGTAGTGGCACAGTGCATTGGTCACCGCCGTTATCCTCCCCCACACTGTAGTTCCAAAACACCGCAGGTTTCAAAACCCTCCTTGGTGTCACCAACGACGGTGTCGGCGCTGCCGACACTGCAAATTAAAATGACGTTGCTAGTTAAAATGACATCATTGACGTTCTGTAAGAGGACATCGATGACGAGCCCTGCTCTAAGAAAATGTCCTCCGCACCGACAACGTTGATACTGACAATCAACGATCCAGTGCTAATGACTAGCAATAGGACGCCAGTGAGCCCTACACTGCAATTCCAGTGTTGGTGACAAGTAACGGTCCAATCGGTCAGTGCTGTCAGAGCCAACGAGCCCAAACTAAAACCAAAATGGTATTTTTTGACCATAAAAGGGTAGTTTGGGAATTATGAAAAAAATTATCAATCACGTGGTGTCACATGCAAACGGGACTCGATGGTCGAGTAACGGCAGGGGAGGATTTGGACAATTGTCAAAAAACTTAAGGGTACCGCAAGACAATAGTTAAACAGTAGGGATACTGTGTGTCATTACGCTAAATAGTAGGGGTAGTTTAAGAGATTTGAAATAAAGAGAAAGAGAATGTTTTTGAAGGAAAAGAGAAAAAGAAAGAAAGAAAGAGATAGAAGGAAGAGGGGAGCCAAGTGATAAGCCTATATTTGTACATATTTTCATACCTCTAACTTGATGAGTTTGGTAATAATGTTTTTGGAATTAGCATGGTATTGCACTAATTATGATGAAATTGTCTTGGAAGATAATTTGGAGCTTAATTGTGAAATTTTAAGGTGGAGTTTGATTTAATTGATCAAGATAATCATAGAGGAAGGACCATGCAGTAATGGTGCTCCATGATGTAGCCATGAAGGAGAGAATCCATTGAAATCAGATTTGATATGTATGCACAAAAATCGGGAAATTTCTTGTTTTGATATAACTCCCGTATTTTGAGCATAACTTTCTACCTATAATTTGGATTGAGGTGATTCAAATGACTAGTTAAAGCTAAGAGATAGGGCTACAACTATTAAGTTTACTATTCACCCTAATTCCTCCGTCAACCAACTGAAATTTGAGCTACAAGTTTTGGGTCTGGCAGTTGGCAGTGTAGAAGAGATAAGAATTCAATTGAGATAAAGACTAAGAGAACTAATTTGTGTTGAATTAGGAGTTTGCATTGAGAAGCAATTGAAGGGAGGCTGCACTATAAGAAGGACCATAGACTCAAGGAAAAGGGATACATCTTTAGAGAGAATTTGGAAGAGAAGAAAAGAGGATGCAGTCTCAACACATTAGAAGAAAAGAGGAAGCAGTTTCAGCACGCTAGAGAATGAGAGGAAGAATCCAAATCCAAGAGGGAGGAAGGCTTAGTTGCTGCACTTTTCTTCGACCTCCAAAGGCTAAAGTTTTCTTGTTATTCTATTCATTATTTGATGTGTTCTTGCTATTTTTCCCCTTTAATTTTCTTGAGTATGTTGAATTTAATGATGTCTAGCTAAATTATCTTAGATAGGGTTTAGATGGATTTTTTATCTTAAGATTATATAGTTATATGTTTAATTCAATTCAAGACCTTTATTATTTGCATGAGGAAGTTTTATTGCTGTGCTTAATCTTTAAAAGAATTGGCCAATCTTTTAATGATTTGATGATTCATGTATGATTGACCAAAGGATTGTTATGAATTAGATCCCTAGGCAATAAAAATCGCATGATAGACTATGATATTGAAAGATGATTAGTTCATGTGTGGGAATCAAGGAAGCTTAGTGAGTCAAACCCCCCTCTACGATTAGAGGTTTCCAAAGAACTTAATGCTTATTTTTCCTTTTGTCAATCACTTAGAAATTTGATTGTAGAATTGGATTAATAAAGGATTAATATGACTTGAGAAAGCTTATTAATTAATTTAGGGAAGTCCACCATCACATGCAAATAACTTTAATATACCTTAGGGTAATTTTAGTCTTGAGTTAGATTAAATAAATAATTATACAACCCTGATTTAATGAAATCTAAACCCTAGCTGCATTCATCCATGAATTCAATTTTTATTAAATTCTTGGATTTGCATTAATTCTTTTAGTTTTTATTCATTCATTTGATTCATGAGTTCAACTTAGGTTAGTTTAAAATTGATTTGGTACTGTGATCTACTCTYTATGGGATCAACACATTTCTCATCATTATATGCACATTTGACTAAAGTACACTTGCCTGAATTAACTGTGCATAAATCACACAACACCAAGTAAAAAATTCTAGCTACTCAATTTAATTATTATTTATACTTAATCATAAAATAATTTACAAAGACAATTATAACCCTATTAGGGCGGTTAGTGCTAAAAATAATGAATAAAGTAATTGAAATATAACAGGCGCATATGCGTGAAGGCCTAATAACACTAAAGTATAAACAATAATATTTTTACTTTAGTATTTAGAAGTGCTAAAATACAAAGTATATATTATACTTTTACTTTGAAATCCATTTGGATAAAAAATTCTATGGTTTATGCTTTTCAAAATAAAACACCATTTTCTGTTTAACAAAAGCATAATAATAAATATGTGTAAGTGATAGGTGGTTATCACATGTCATGGCATATTTATAATAATGACACATCACAGTAATAAAACACTTATATGTGCCAACTTGTATTATTATGTGATACATGGTAGTTAGAAAATAGTGACATGCGTAAGTAACACACATGCATATTATAGTGATGCATGGCAGTCATTAGAAGTAACAAGTGTCAAATTGTGTTGCTATGTGATACGTAGTAGTTAGAAAATAATGACTCATGGCAATCACATAATGATGACATGTGTCAACTTATGCCAATATATGACATGTTGCGATAAAAAAATAATGACACATTTCGGTGACACATGTATAATAATGACACATGATAGTCACATAGGTAGTGTTTTGTATGGTTTCCGTTTATTTGATAAATGGTGCCATGTCATTGCCAAATCAACATTTATCTCATCATGTCCATCCGTACGCATAGGTATTCACAAAAGTTGGTTTTGATTTATGTGCACACCAACTGTTGGGGAAAGCTTCATTTTAACGCTTCCTCCAACGATTATGTGTTTATTCACTGTTCCGTTAATGTGATGCCTAATTTTTGATGAACGATTTATCAAGCACTTTTCTCGATTTTGAAGACAAATCAAGTACAAATGTTTATTTAATAAACGAAAGCTATACCAAACACATACATAATGGAAACACTTGTATGGCCATGCTATATGGCAATAACATTTATAATTGTAATAGTTACATAATAATAACACATGTTAGCAACACGTGTATAATGGATGCCACGTGATAGTAACATAATGGTGACACCTATATGTCCTAAAACACATAGAGGTGTAAAACGGGCCATGTCAGGCTGACACAACACGACCCACCTGTGGCCAGCGCAAAGTGCAGGCCGTCTTGGGTCATGTCGCCCTCTCTAGGGATAATTTGGGGGGTTGGCCAAACACAGCCCATGTGGGCCCGTGCCACGAGCATGGGCCAAGCGGGCTATAGGCCATGCTGGGCTAGGCCACAGGCTGAGCTTTGGGCGTGGGCCGAACCGGGCCAGATTGTTTTCTTTATCTTTTGACATTTTTKATTTTTTTTATTTGTTTGCTAAGTAAAACTAAAATATTTAAATTTCTTTTGGGAGCTATTTAAAAAAATAAGAAATCTAACAAATAAATGAAAAAAAAATTACTTAAGCAAATAAGAAGTCAAAGAGACAAAGACTCAAAGTGAATAACAAATTGAAAGAAAAATAAGAATTTTATTTCATTTAAATTTGAATGATACAAAGCATACAATAGTTGGATGAATGAAATATGAAAATTGGAAAATGAAATAAATTAATAAAATATCAAAATACAATATAATTACAAATTGAAAATAAAAAATTACGTTATTAAAAATATCAAAAAAATTAAATAAAATTAAAACAAAATTTACAATAATTTGAAAAAATGCTATACAACTATTAAGTATACAAAAAATATTGACTTCATCATTTTCTCCTATTGTTTTTGACTTTGATCATCTATTTTAGGTGAAACATTAGGTGTAGTGTCATGGTAATGGATAAGGCTATTTATAGGAATTAGAAATAATTCAATTGCCCCAAATACCCTAAAATTAGTCATTTTTAGTTGTTGGGAGGGATATTTTGGTCATTGTAAAGTTATTTATCACTTTACCCAAAATATCCCCCAAACTAACTGTTATATAGCTATTGGGGGGCATTTGTGTCATTCTTTCTCCCCCTCCCCCCAAAACCAAAATACATAAATACCCTCCTATAAAGTTGTTTATAGCTGATGAGGGGTATTTCTACAAAAAACCCCCAAAAGGATGAAACTAGCCGTTGAGGACCCCCCAATGGCTAGTTCATTGGGCGGGCCGAGCGTGACCCGCTACGGGTCTATGGGCCGTGCCGCGGGTGGCACAACCCAATTTATACCTCTACAAGAAGTACATAAATATAATTAGGAAAGAACAAATAAATAACCATAAAATTTACATTATTTGATACATATACCTAGTTAATATGAAAAAAGATTCCTCATGTACAACGCACGTGCTGAATTATTAGTATACAAAAGTGAAAATACAAGACAAATGAATATTAAAAGAAAATCACATAATGTAAATGTGCAAAAAGCTCTTGGAAAAATGATTATTTGATATTGGTTAGCCAAAGAAGAAAGAAAAAAAGATTGGAAAGAAAAAAAAAAAAAAACTTACTATTGTTATGACAAAATTTACTTGAGAAGAGTGAACAACTAGAACAATTAAAACCCTTTTATCAATATCCATGCTTTGTCATGCCAACTCTGGACCAGTAGGAAGTGCTACGTAACCATAATAGTGTTGGGAATTGGTTGTATTCCTGGCTGGTTCAACAGGAATTTGCTTTATAATAACCGCAAAGACCATACTTATAGATCCAATTAGAATGCTGAATAGCCATAATTGCCAGCTTAGAGGGACAGTACTTGCAAAAGTTCCCAGGAATTCAACCATTAATATTTGGAATACTATTGTGCAGAACATCACAACTATGAATACCCAACTGTTAAACATGCCACGGAAAACATTAATGTTTTCCATATCACGACTATTTATTTCATTGAAAACCTGGCAAAAAAAGATTAATTAGAGAAAGAAGATTAATACATGTTCAATTATTAAAATCAAATCATAACATTTGGCAAGACTTTGAAAAAGATTAACTAGTGAGCACAGACTACATATTAGAAACATCATGATTGAAAAAAAGGGGAAGAATGGTAAACAATATTAGTATCATCATCTATTTTATATAGTTAGCTACTTGTAACCACACATCATTATCTTTTCATGGAAATTTCATTTTAATTATACTGTTGCCCTCTCTCTAAATTGTGCTTCTTTTTATCCTAATAGATTTGCTCACCTATTAATTTCTTCTTCTATATTCTTCTTCAATTTTCTATGCACACATCTATTATCATTAAACTATGTTGTATGCTTAAGCTTTTTCCTAAGATAATTTTGCATTCCTTATACATCATTTTTTGGTTCTCTTGATAAGGAAAAAATCTATTTAACTTAAGTTTGACTCACTTTTAAATAATATTAAATATTTATCTATACTTTTAAATATGTATATATTGTTAACATATCATAAATTATTGTAAATTCTAAAATTGTATTTCATTTTTCAATTCCCTCCCTAAACTCAAATTCTTTATGCACCATATCATATCTACTACACTTCTTTCCTTATATGCCTATTTAAATCTCCTCTTATAAAAATATTTTCTTCATTTGGATGGCATCATTCATATTGATCTTTGATCAATTAAGGTGAATCAACTAAAGCGTCAAGAAATTCCTAGGTTGATTGAGTCTATATAGACAACATGTTTTTTTTTAAGGTTTGGTTGACGATCTCCATTGAAGCATTATTATGGAAAGAGGCTCAAAGGGTGGAAGATGAAGTAATAGAAGAAGGGTGCTTATGTGGCAAGAGAAGAGTGGGTGATTCAAATGAAAATGCAAATTTCACCAAAATAATGAAACAAAGGTTGGAAAGAGGAAAAGATGAGGGGCTAGTCATAATAAATTCATGCATGAGAAAAGAGGTTTGAGCTGGCGTGTGGATTGTCATATGTTCAAATTTGATAACCACCAAAAAGCTGATTGTATTTTTTAAAAGAAAATTCAATAAAAATAAAATTAAAAGCATCATAAAGAAACACATATTCTATTTGATAGAAGAAAGGCAACACGTATTTAGAGTGTTTAAGGGAGAACTGGTTATTTTTTATGTAAAACATTAGAAGGCAACACGTTTTTAGAGTGTTTAAGGGAGAAGTGGTCATTTTCGATGTAAAACATTAGAAAGGCAGCACATATTTAAGAAAGAGGTGGTCTTTTCGAGATTTATCAATGAATTATCATAACTCTCACATGTGCTCCAAACAATTCTTACAAAATGAAAAAAATCGTATACAAAATTCATCCTCTAACATGTACTACAACTACATGTACACGATTAAACTCACGTGTGGATACCATTTTCTGCATACAAAATGGACCATGTTACCTAACCCCAACCCTTCCCATATAAATATATATATATATATATATAGGCACACCCACACAAACTTTGACAAATGTAAATGTCTACGAGTACATGATCAAGGGTATTTGTAGGGTTACAACTTGAGTCTAGACCTGTTTATGGGTCGGGTAGCCCAACGGGCCAGCCCAATCTAAGTTGGGATTGGACAAGATATCAGGCCCGTGGACTTGGGTCGGGCCTAAAACACCAGGCTTGACCTTTTCTCGAGCCGGGCTTGGGCTTTCTTAAAAAATCTCGGCCCGAGCTCGAGCCCGACTTGATAATGTATTTATATAATATATATATATATATATATATAATATTTTTTCTTTATTATTCTTACCTTTTTCCAAGTAATAGTGAGATTTTTCATTATTTTTTAGGTTTTGAGGTCTTTTAATATAAATAAAATAATTTTTTATTGAATAACAAAAATATTTTCCAATTTTTTGGCCGGGTTCGTGCTTGGGCCTAGGCTTTGCGCTTTATATAAGAGTCGGGCTTGGACTTAAGATCTAGGCCCACTGGTCGGGCCGGGCTCGGGCTTGGGCCTGGGTATATTCTGTTAATATAGAGACAAAGCTCGACCCAGCCTGGCCCATGAACAGGTCTACTTGAGTTAGGTTGGGTTGAGGATCTATTAAATGTTGAATGGGCATGAGTTCAAATCCCAACCCATTGTAGTTGAGATTCTTCAATTTGGACAATTAGAGCTGCACCATTAAGCATTTGGTCTTTCTCTTATAATACAAATAGAAGAAAGAAATTGTATGCCTTGTACTTTTTTGGAGATTATTTTGTGTTTATGGTTCCTAGGAAGAAGTCTACAAAATTTTCTCCAGAAGTCAAGGAAAACTAGAGAATTAGAAATTTGCTTTGATTGTAACTTCTTACTCAAGATTAAATGTGGCATTTAGATATCTTGCAGATGTTAATCTTCTAGAAAAAAATGTGAGCAACTTTTCCAGTTTGTCCACTTTGATATGTTTTGTCCTATCATGAAGAATAGGGTTGTGAGCAATACTGATGACAATTTTATTATAGCAATATAGTGACATAGGGCTTGTTATAGGTAGGGTTGTTAATGGAGTCTGAAAGTTGAATACCTAATTCAACTTCGAATTTGATTATCTCAGATTTGGATGTTAGAACTTGTAGTTGATTAAAATCCAAGTATAAGAATATTATTTATGTATATATGTAATACAATTATATATGTATATAGATATTATGTGTAATATAATTTTAATATTTTATATTTATATAAAACTATTATACATATATAAGTTAAAAATAATTATTTTTTTAAAAGCTTTTGGTCATGTTAAACACAATAAGATGGTTGTGGATTAAATTTGAATTTGATATGAAATCTAACAAGATAATTGGATGTGGATGTAGATCTAGAGGTTTGATAATCAGATTTGGATGTGGACATGGTTGAATCCAGTCCAAATCTGATTTGATTATAGTCGTAGTTATAAGAAGACCTAACTAAAGAAGTAGTTTTCACCCGTAACATCTCAATAACGCTGTGTGCCATAACACGATATTCCACTTCAGTACTTGAACAAACCACCATTAATTGTTTCTTACTCCTCCATGTCACTAGTTTGCCACCCATAAATGTGCAATACCTAGAGGTTTACCTTCAATCATCTACAAAGGCTACCCAATCTGTATTAGTACATGTTTCAACATTCAAATGTCCATTATTAGCAAATAAGATACATCTTCTTGGGTATTTTTTCAAATAATTTAGTATCCTTTCTCCAACTGAGACGTGTTGATTTAGGAACATGCATATTAGGAAACAATATACCTCTTCCTTGGTGCTTCTTCAAATACTTTAGTACCCTTTCTACAAATGAGACATGTGATGATTTAGGAGCATGCATATGTTAGCTAAGTACACTAACAACATATGCAATATTTGGCTAGGTCATAAACAAATACAACAACTGACCAACAAGTCTCTAAACTGTTTGGCATCAACAACAATATTCCCCACATATCTCCTAAGTTGTGATTGGGCTCAATAGGAGTGTTGAATGATTTACATCCAAGCTTACTTGCATCCTGTAAAAGATCTAGGATATATTTTCTTTAGGAAATGAAGATGCCTTTCTTGGATCTAGAAGTTTCAATCTCTAGGAAATACTTAAGAGAACCTAGATCTTTTACCTCAAACATAGGAGCAAAAAATTGCTTCAACTTCTAGATCTCTGTCTCCTAGTCACTTGTAATGATGATATTATCCACATAAACAATATAAACAATATGGACAACCGATTTCTTGTCTCCCCTATTCACAAACATAGTATGGTCTCACTAAGACCGTTTAAACCCCATCTATTGAATTGCTTTGTCAAATCGGCCAAACCAATTCCTTGGTGACTGCTTTATCCTATACAAAGAGTCGTTAAGATGACAAACCTTCCCTTCAGTATCCTTTGCATGAAAACTTGGAGGTTGTACCATATACACTTCTTCTACCAAGTCCCCATTTAAAAAGGCATTCTTTACATCAAGTGACGAAGATGCCATCCTAGGTTGATTAGCAAGGATAATAAAACTTATACTGAGTTCATCTTTCCAATAGGATCAAAGGTCTCTCTTTCCTTTAATAAGATCAATTAGTTCCCACATATTGTTCTTGTGTAGGGTGTCAATCTCTTCCAGCATATCTTTAGTTTATTTAGGAGATTCCAAAGCTTCTTTAAGTGACTTAGGGATAGGAACACTAGACATAATAGAAATGCATGCATGATAAGAAGGAGATAAAGAGTCAAGAGAAGTGTAACGAGCAATAGGCTGCCTAGTGGTACAAGATTTAACACCCTTACCATGGTCAGTAGGAACATCAAGGTCATTAATGACAAGAGGTGAAGGCAAAGAAAAGATACCTATTCGAAAAGAATATGGACTAGCATGTGGATTTGCCTCCTAAGAATCCATTGGTAATGGTTGCACAACTTTTGGTTGCTCTACACCTTGAGATGCATGCTGGATTTTTTGTTGATAATGAAGACGAGAGATAACACAAAGAGGAAATTGAGAATTAGAAATAAAAGGAGTAGAAATTGGGAAATTGGAATATATATAGGAAACTAAACCTGTTTCTCACCACCACAAATCTCCCCTTAAGGAGAGAGAAGAAAATAAGATTGGGATAGAAAGAAGGTAACATCTAATGAGGCATAACGCTTAGATGCACAAGGTCAGAACAGTTATACCCTTTTTTGAAATGAAGGGTCCCCAAGGAAAACACAAGGAATAAACTTGAGGTCAATCTTACCCCATGAAGGAGACAACTTATGGACAAAAAACTTGCACCCAAAGACGCGAAGAGGGATAGAGAAAAAAAAAAAAAAAAAAAAAAAAGAGGAGGCTTTGAGTAAAGAAGCTAATGAAAGGCTTTGTATTAGAGGGTCCTACTAAGCATATGATTCATTAAGTATGCTACTCTAAGAATTGCATCACCCCAAAGTCCTTTTAGCATGTGCGTTTTCAATAGTAGGCCTTAAGCCACTTCCAACAGGTGTCTATTCTTTTGCTCGACTATACCATTTTGTTGAGGTGCTTGAGGGCAAGAACTACAATGTAATATTCTATTAGTAGCAAAGGTTTAGTCAAACCCTTGATGAAATACTTATTAGCAATATTTGATTGGGAAATTTGAACATCCACATGTTCAAATATATCCATATGGGGTTCCTTCATGTAAACAATATAAATATATCCATGTGTAGTGAGAATAGTCTTCAGTAAAAGTCATAAAGTATTGATATCCACCATCAATCACAATACAAGCCGGGCTACACACATCAAAATGCACAATGTGAAATGGAATATTAGATATTTTATTATTCAATAGAAATGATGTTTTATAATGCTAATTGACAAGTATGGCATTGAAATGAGGACTCAAAAATAGACTTAAATAAAGAAGGAACCAAATATTTTAAAGATTCCAAGGGCATATAACCCAAACAGAGATGTCACAAATAAACCTGTCTCTTAACATGGCTATCACTATGACTTAGAAGTGTTGTAGAGGAAGAAGATTTCGGCCTATCACCATCTTCCAAGATATAAAGGCCATCCACCATATGATCCCTAACAATCGTCCTCCTCTAAGTCAAATCTTGAAAAGCATATGAAGTGGTAAAGAAGGTTGCATTACAATGTAGAGGTTTGGTAAGACTATTAATAGAAAGAAAATTAATAGGTAATTTGGTTAAATACAATACATAAGAGAGGATAATGCTAGAGGAAGGGATAAAGTTCCTGAACCAACAATGAAGAAGCCAATTTGCTAATCTCACCTTATCTTTCTAGAAAACAATTGATATAAAGAGAACAAGGTAGGCATAACAATCATATGGTTGGAAGCCTTGAAGTATGGAAAGCAATAGCCTAGTTACCTGAGCTGGCTGCAAATGAGGCTAAGGAACCTCTAAGTTACAGAGCTTTGAATGGGTACGCTAGGAACCAAAGGGAGTTGTATCATGAATTACTATACTAACTACCACATTAGCTGAATTAGTCTTCTTACTAGGCTTCTTTTGAAATTTCTTCGGTTTTCCCACTAAATCCCAACAGTTCTCCTTGGTATTTCTCTGTCTACTATAATGACTACACCATAGTTTATCCTTGTCATCTTCCCTCTTAGACTATTTGCCTTTCTTAACAACTCCCTTTGTTTCCAAGGCCATAGGCTCCCCATCGAACAATTTCATAGAGTGTCTTCTGCTCTCCTCTAACTGGATAAGGGAATACACCACTTGAAGACACAGCAAATCCTTGCTCCCCATGGGTTCATATACTAGGATTACATCAACAAGGCAAGCAAACACATGTTGCTAAGAAACTAACTTCTTATAATTCTTAGATCCTTCTCATTTCTCTAGGAAATTCTCTAATAATAGTCCAGCTCCTTCCACATGGATATAGTGTATAATAATAGGCAGATAAGATCTTATCACCCTTCTTACATCCAGTTAACTCAACTAGTAACTGGTAGATTCTAGAATAATGCCTAATCCCAAACCTCATTGGAAATTTCAGCCCACATGAAGTTTTTCCTAAGAGAAGGATGAATAGAAGACAGTAACCAAGTCATAACCATATAGTTTTCTTGGTCCCATTATCTGGCTCCTTCCCTTTAGGTTCTGTTATGCGTCCTGTTAAATAACCAGACTTCTCATTACTCCCCACAACCAGTCTTACACTTTTACCCACTCTAGATAATTCACGACTATCTATAAGAGTAATAGAAACATGTATAAACATATTACCAAGTTAATTGTTACACCAAAAAGAGTTTTAAGGTAACAATAGAGGTTGTAGAGTCTTCACTATCCATCTTTAACACCCAAAGCTAAACTAAACCATTTAGCAATACGAGCTAACAATCATACAACAAACCAGGAAACTACCTCCCAACAGGCTTGTACTGCTAACAACAATTAAAAAACTCACGTACCAACATTGCCAAACCAAAAAAAAAAGGAAAGATATAGCCCAGTCTTCTCCACCAATTTTGATCGGTCACTTCACTGCCTAGCCAAAAAACACTATATATACTGCTAGGAAGGATAGACCACTAAAACTAGAAAGGGGAACACACAACACAGCTATTAAGAGTCTTTACACCATTGTCAATTAGCTTAGGAGAGCATGCAATCTGAAATAGAAAACTCACATTCAGTGTCACCACTAGAATATCCCATGGCCTCCAGATTTACTCCTACAGAATGAACACCACTTGTAATTGTAACACAAGAACAGTCACAAGAATTTCCAACAAAAAGGATTACTCACATCATCTAACCACCTACAGGTTTGTGAAAGAATCTTCCTTGGTTTTACAATCAAGGACAAAGAATAAAAAATGAAAAAGAAGTATAGCTGTGACCAGATCAGATGAAGTGTTTCCATATTTCCTTGTCTCACGAGTGAATAAAATCAAAAAAAAAAAAAAAACAGAAGAGAGAGTATAGGAAGAATGTCCCCTGATCAGATCTAGTGCTCTAATACCATCCTGTAAACGTTAATCTTCTAGATAAGAATGTGAGAAGAAAGAGACAAGTGAAGAGAATGATTGGAGTCAAAGTGGTGAGTGGGTAGCGGCTCCTCTTCCTATTTATATTAGGGAAAACATAATACAATGTAAAGGACAAACTGCCCCTCACACTAACCATACATATCTACTGAATAAACAAGGTATTTTTTGATAGATTTCAAATTTATTTAGTGGTCGATTGTGATACTTGATGATGAACTTTTAAACAAAAAATGAGTGTTTTAGGTTGTTAGGTGAGGCTATCTACCTACCTTGGGGTACTAGGCACTTAGTTCTATGTTTCTATGATATATTAAAAAGGTCATTACCCAACATTGCTGTATATTTCTGTGCTATGTTCTTCGATAAAATTTTCTATTATTGATAAAAACAGAACGATGGAACAGAATTCATATAGTCAACTCAATACAGTTGTTTGGGCTTACTTGAGTTGAATTCTATTGATCATAAAGGGCAAAAAAAAAAGCATAGCAAGATATAAGCCATAAAGAATGGATAAAATTGAGGGGGAATGCTCTTTAGACCAAGAAAAAGGAGATATAACAACAACAACAAAAATAAAGAAGTCAGTGAACTACATGGTTTTTTAGTAAAAAGCAAAAATAAATAGGAAACTAATTAGAAATGCATCAGCAGATAGCAGGTTGCGCCTTCATGTCACTTAGCAACTCACATCTCATGTCCCAAAGTCATCTGAAACTTGATCTTTTGCTTCTTTTCGTAACTTAGTTTTGGCTTTACTTCTATTCCAGTATCTATGAAGGGGCTATCACAATCATTTTATTTAACTTGGTAAGCCTCGTATATTTCTTTCATCCAAGTCAAATTTTCATATTGTTTTCTTATATAGTTCATGTTTTGCAACCCAAATAAGATCCATAAAAAGATAAAATAACACAACACATAAGAGGCATGCATAACCTGAGATATGAATTTAAACCAAAGCAGTTGATAAACCCAATTTTCACTATCAACCAACACATAGAATAGAGTTTTATGGTGCAAATTGGATGAGACACTTAGGAAAGAGATTCTTCACTTTTAGAATCTATAAACTGAAAACAATGAACCATACCTGACAGAAGACAAAGGAATTGAAGAGGAAAGTATTGAGAACTGAAGTAGCATCTGAGCCACTAAGTCTCAAAAGCTCCTTTCCATAAAACTGAAGAGTAAGAAGGATGATCAATTGATAAATACTCTGACCAATGATGTTCCTCCACATGGTCCTGGTAATGAAACTAATGCCCCTGCCAACAGTAGGTCTTTTCATCAACATATCATTTGGAGGTTCAGTAGCCAGTGCCAATGCACCAAGAGTGTCCATAATCATGTTCACCCACAGCAATTGGACAGCCGTAAGAGGAGCAGATCCTGTAAGTCAACAAGTTTAGGATAGAAATCAGCATAATGAAAATAATAACATTGCCATACTGTAAATCCAACTAAAATGCTCATTAGAAGTGATCAAATTCATTGATTGCATACCTGAGATACAGGCAGACACAAAATTGATCACAAGAGCAACAACATTAACTGTTAACTGAAACTGCACAAACTTTTGAATATTTATATAAACAGCACGTCCCCATTTGACTACATTGACAATAGTTGTAAAGTTATCATCCATGATGACGACATCGGCATTTTCTTTTGCAACCTGTACAAAAATAATATATATGTAAATATGAAAGTTAAAATGAAGAATACGAAGAACACATGTGCAACCACCTCTCCGTATAGTTTCTTCTTCCCCATATGCTTCTAAAACCATTAGAGAGCATTATCCATATGCTCCTAACCAAGAAGCAACTACATTACATACTCAAAAGTAATCTTTAGCCAGAAAGTAGTTATTAACAGCATGACTTATCTACCTCTTGTGGTTTGTTGGGTCAGCATGTTGCATCTGTTGCAAGTTGAAAATCTAGACGAGCCAAGGCAAGCCAGAAAGGACATGGATTGAGGCAGTCAAATGATTTGAGAATGGACATTGATGGAGTGAAATGAAAAAAAGGAGTTATGTAGTCAAATATAGTAGTGTTAAGTCTTTGTTTGAGTGGTGCAAGTCTCCTTTCTAAGACCATCTCTTCAAGTGTTGTATAACATATTTTTTTAGAAAACTTACCATATCAATTTTTTTTTTCAAATTCAGACTATATCTCCACATAGTACTTTCCCCATTCTTAAGATATAGCATAATTCATCTTCCACACCAGTCAAACTCCCTGTCTTACATCACCTATTTACCTTCATTTTTATTCTTTGACAATAACTTCATCTTTATACTTTAATTATATTCCTTACACATTAGCATCATGATGTAGGAAGACACCCAATATAAGAAAACAAAGATGTTCAACCCAAGAACAAACTCTTAGTCATAAGCACCTAATAGGTTCTTGAAAGAATGATGTCAAAATATGGCATCTGTAACAAAAAAAAAGAGAAGTCAATAGAATTTTTTTTATTTTAATTCTCATTATCCTCTTTTACTAAAGATTGTGGACCTTATATAAACTTCTTTCCCTAATCTAAAGATTCCTTTATCCACCCTCCAACTTATAACTATAGATGAAATCAATTAAGCTAACTGAACTTCTAAAAAGCTATGTACCCATAAAAAAACAAGCTGTTTTGATAAAGGGATTTTTCTTAAGCATAATGTTCTTGGGATGCCAAATTTGTTACATGTAGAGGGTTGTTGAAGAAGAGTACTGGCAAAATGAAACAAATGAAAACTTCAAAGAATCATAGATGGTACACGTTACAAAAGGTTTCCCACGTTTCAAAAGTAATCTCTACAAGGTTGGTCCATGAAAAAGATTTAATGCCTAGGCAATTAGATAGGTAAGTTGCCTAGGTTCTACCGGGTTTTTAACAGCATTGATTATAAGAGAACAACAAAATACATGTAATGAACAAAAAAGATTCAAATGACACAAATGCCAAACAATTGCGGGAAGAGGGAAATTTGCAGGAAGTCATGCCTGAGCAAATATGAACTGGTGATATCACATAAGGCTAGATGTAACACAAACCTCTGTTCCTGCTATACCCATAGCAAGCCCAATGTCTGCTGCACGCAAGGCTGGGCCATCATTGGATCCATCACCTGTCACTGCAACAACTTCTCTTAGATCCTTCAGTTGTTTCACTAAGGTGTGCTTGTCCAAAGGCAAGGACCGTGCCATTACCTGTAGCAACATAATTAGCATTTAAAAGTACCCCTATATGGTTAGCAACTAAGGGCCTGTTCATTTGGTGAGCTTTTGGTGCTGATATCTTGTTTTTTTTTTGTTATAAATAATTAAAAAGAATAGTGAAATGTTTAAAATTTTAAAAAATTGATTAAAAGTATAAAAATGAATAAAAAATTATTAAATTTAGTAAATAATAGAATAATTATTACATATCTAAAATACTTAATTAAATATAATAAAAAAATAATAATTAACTAAATTAATTATTTAATAATGAATAATTAAAACAATTATTTTAACTCATAAAAACTACTGAATTAATTATTTTATTTCATTAGTGATGAATATTTAAATTATTTTATAATTAATAAATAATTAAATTAAGTAAGTATAATTACTAATAAAAATAATTACTTTTTAATTAAAAGTCAATTATTTTAATTAATAATATTTACTAATTTTTTATAAAATTAAAGCAATGGTGCTAATAATTTAAAAATTAATAGTTTTAATTATTAATAGATTTAATAGTTTTTAATCATATTAATTAATTATGTAAATATTATTTTTATAATTAAATATTAAATTAACTTAATTATTAATATTTAATATAATGAAAATAATAAATAATATATGAATAAATATTTACAAAACAATTAGAAAACATTAATAAAATTTAATAATAACTTCCATATTATGTTATTGATTTTTTTTATTATATTTGAATAATCATTTTACTATAATTACTATTAGATTATTGGAACACATACTCCACATACCTGTCGGACTAGGGGTATGGTTGTAAAAATAAGGATAAATCAAGAATTAATTTTACAATTTAATTGAATGATAGGCCTCCTCATACGATTCCAGAGTGTTCAGCCTTATGGCAACTGAAAGCTCTGAAGTCACAAGATCCTGTACGGCATCATTTCAGAGTTAAGATTTCAGCGGTAATGAACAGGCCTTAAAATTTTGTAACGTAAATGGCATTGCAACCTGAAGTTTTGGTATCAACTTCTTCATCTCTTCAGGACTTTTACTACTGAAATCTGGACCCTCTATAGCCAAGCCATCATCTGTCAATATGCCACATTCTTTTGCTATTGCTTTAGCTGTGTAAATATTGTCCCCAGTGACCATCCGTATGGTAATTCCCGCAGCTAAACAAGCCTCTACTGCATCCTTGACACCAGGGCGCAGTGGGTCCTTAATTCCCAGAATTGCCACCAGAGTATATCCATCACCAGGAATGTTATCATTGTTGAAACTATCATCTATATCCTTGAAAGCCAAGCAGAGTGTTCTCAAAGCTTCAGAAGCAAAACCATTTATGATATTCATGACATTCTCTATCCAGGTTTCTGTCAGATAGACAAGTTCCCCATGGCTACCAATTACCTTACTGCACATTCCCAAGATGATTTCTGGTGCACCTTTGCAGAATGCCCTAAATCCACCAGTTGGGAGAGTCACAAGAACGGACATCTTTTTCCTGACTGAATTGAAAGGTTCAACCTTAACAATATTAGACTTCTGGCGTTGACCATCAAAATCACCCCCCAGAAGCAAGCCAAATTCTAACAATGCTGATTCGGTTGGAGTACCCAGGATGGTATTCTTTCCATCTGTCCCTTTCACCACCTCTGAACTAGTATTCTGAAATATAGAATGTAATAGGATTATCAAAACATCGTCAGAAATCATAGACTTTAAAGCATCTATGCTGTCATTACCTTTTATCACCTTTATTTCTTCACAGATCCATATCTTATTGACAACCATATGGTTTGTTGTCAGTGTCCCTGTTTTGTCTGTACAAATGCAAGTAGCAGAACCCATGGTCTCACATGCAGAGAGATGCCGTACAAGTGCCCTATCGTTCATTAATTTCTTCATTGCAAAGGCAAGGCTTAGTGTCACTGCCAACGGTAGCCCTTCCGGAACTGCAACAACAATTATAGTCACTGCAATAGAAAAATAGTTCAGAAGCTTCATTGCATCGCTCAAGGACCACTGTAAAAACTTGTTTTGCAATGCCTTATCTACCAGAAACCTTGCCACTAGAACTACAAATGTCAGAACCGCAAAAGTCAAACCAATCTTCCCAATAATAGTAGCAACACCATTCAGCTTCACTTGCAATGGTGTCTCATCCTCTCCTCCCTCATTCAGAGTCTCCATCAACCTTCCCCACTCAGTCCTCATTCCAACTGATGTTACCAGCATTATACCATTCCCATCTTGAACTTTGGTTCCTGATAGAAGAAAAGGATTCTCCTCAGATATGTTTACAGGTTCACTCTCACCAGACAAGCTTGACTCATCAATCAACAAGCTGTAACCTGATATAAAAATCCCATCAGCTGGAACTTTGTCACCAATAGAAAGATGAACAATGTCTCCAACCACTAAATCATAGATAAGAACTTTCTGTCTACACCCATCTCTGGTTACCTGAACAAAAATCTTTTTCTTCTCCTTATCCAATTCTCTGAATTGCAATGACTGCTTGTAGTCGCTGATTGAAGTAACCATCACTACCAAGAAGATACTGAGTACAATTCCCAATCCATCATATATACCCTCTGGCCAACCCTTAGTGGCAATTCCTACACCTATAGAAATCACAGCACAAACTATGAGAATGATTAAAGTCAAATCCTGCAATGCCTCCCACACGAATATCCAGAAACTCTTAGGTGGTTTCTCAACGTATTGATTGAATCCATAAATCTTCTGCCTCCTAGGTAGATCAGTTAAATATACACCATCAGTTAGTGAGACTTGAACTTTTCTGGCAATTCCTTCAACTTCTCCATGGAACTTCAAACGCCTTGAATCATGGCCATGAACAATTGATGCAAGTTCATTTGGATCAATGCCAAAGTCAGCTTCTCTAACCTCTTGGGAGAGCTTGTATTCTACTCGATTTCCAGCTATACAACAACACAAAAAATAAAACACAATAAAATAAGTGAGAATGCAAAACAGAAGTTATGATTGAAAAGAAATACATAATTGAAATGTGCTTTCATAGAGGCCATACCATCAATAAATTGTAGGGCTGCTTTTTGAACATATAGAGCAACACGTAACTTTTCCTGGCAGAATTAATAACAGCAATAAGGATATAAAATTTAAAAGAGAAGAAAGAAAAGAAAATCAACCCAGAAAAATAAATGTTTCAATGTGTTCGATCAGTTCTCTCTCTTGTCTCCTAATTACTTTTACAAACTTAATCATAATGAACAGAACCACAAAGATGCCCTTAATGGAGTGGCCAGCTCATAAACATAACATAGAAAGGAGTTAATGACCCATATGGTCCAGGCCCATTAATATAAACATAGCTAGTAAAAAGACAAGAAATAAAAAGAGCACTAGGGCCCATTCGGCCTAGATGTCAATAATGCCAGCTTGCTTAATGTAGTAGCTTCCCTTTTGGAACTCAAGACATCAGAGTGTCTTCCAACATATTGCACAAGAAGTTGACGCGTACAAGCTCTAGCAGAAGTTCGAGAGCCTGTATGAATGCAAGACCTCGTAGAACACGGCTTTCATGATCTGAAAGCTTGTAAATATGAAATATAAGGATGGGTGCAATGTTTCTGAGCATTTCAGTAAATTCCAAAAAGTCTTGAACAAGCTATCTAGCATGAAGATAGTATTTGATGATGAGGTACAAGCATTGCTTCTTCTGAGTTCTCTACCAGATCACTGGGAAACTTTGGTGGTTTCACTTAGCAACTCAACCCAGAATGGTGTACTAACTTTGAACATGGTAAAAGACAACATGTTCAATGAAGAAACAAGGAGGAAGGAGAATGGTACCTTCACTCAATACGATGCTCTTATTGTTGAAAAGAAAGGTAGGAGCAAAACCAGAAGACTCTACAAGAGTGATGACAAAGACAAGTCTAGAGGAAGGTCCAAACCAAGGAAAGATATAAAATGTTATCACTATGGCAAGACTAGCCACGTAAAGATAGAGTGCAGAAAGCTAAAAAGAGAGCAATCCGAAGGAAGGGTAAAGGCAAAAGACAAGACAAGGACACAATTACAGTTGCAACTAATTGTGGCCTTGGATCCATGAACCTCACAAGCCAAGACTCCAATTGGGTGATAGACTCGGATGCCTCATTCCACGTCACTTCTTGATGAGATTTCTTCTCATCCTACACTACTGGTGACTTTGGCTTCTTAGGTTAGGAAATTATACTATTGCCAAGATCATTGGCATGAGAGATATCTATTTGAAGACCAGTCTTAGTTGCAAGCTTCTCCTAAAGAATATCAAACACATTCCAGAAATCTGCCTAAACCTTATCTCCACTAGTTGCCTTGACGATGCTGGGTATCCTACCTATTTTGGTGAAATTAAATGGAAGCTCACTGGGGGATATCTAGTGCTGTATAGAGGTGAGAAAGTGAATATCCTCTATGTCACACAAGCAACGATCTGCAATGGGGAGGTGAGTGCTGTGGAAGACCCCTCCAATGAGCTACAGCAAACGAGACTCAACCATATGAGTGGCCTCGAGACCCTTGCAAGGTAGAAAGTTTTGCCTTTAGCTAAATGTATGCATCTGAAAAAACCTGCTTTAACTGTCTAGTAGGAAAACAACATAATGTTTCTTTCCAAAGGTATGCTTTGTAACGAAGTCAAAATATTCTTGACCTCGTTTATACTGATGTGTCTTCTATGAGCACTAGAGCACTTGGTGGTGCTCTGTATTTTGTTACATTCATTGATGACCATTCTAGGAAGGTGCAGGCTTATGCCCTGAAGTCCAAAGACTAAGTGCTAATGGTCTTCAAGAACTTTCACACTAGTGTTGAAAGAGAAATTGGCAGAAAATTGAAGTGCATGTGTTAAGAGTCGACAATGGGGGTTAGTACAGAGGCTTCTTCGATGCTTATTGTACAGAATTTGGCATCAAGTTGGAGAAGTCATGAGGACTGCAGTAGACTTATTCAACCTTTCACCTTCTGTTCCACTAAAAGGTGATGTTCCAGAGTGAGTCTGGAAAGGGAAGGATGTATCATACTCACACCTATGAGTCTTTGATTGTAGGGATTCTATTCACACCGACACACCCCCCAAGGATGAAAGGTCCAAGCTTGACAACAAAGCAAAGTAGTTCATCTTCATGTGATATAGTCATTAAGAGTTCGGCTATAGGCTATCAAAGTCCTTGAGAAGATAGAAAAATCAAGGTTTGTGCAAAAAAGTTTTGTGGACTTAGGTCCAAGTCCACCCATGGTGCATAGTGAAAATTGAGGAGAAGTACCATAGGAGTGAGAAATCTTGCAAGAAAACAACTCTAGTGATAGTTCACTGTGAGAGGGATTCACATACCCTGAGCAAGTATCTCTTGAACCTACTATTGACCAGAAACCAAGAAGATTTACAAGATAGAGACAGCCTTCCTAGATGTACACCCAAATGAATATCTACTGGTCATTGATGGTGATGAACTAGAAAACTTTGAAGAGGCTACGACTCATGAGTACAAGAAAGAGTGCCTAAGGGTGGTGTAGGATGAGATGAAGTCTTTGCAAGACATCAACACCTACAACCTTGTGAAGCTACCTGAAGGAAACAGAGCACTCAAGAATAGGTGGGTGTTCAAAGTTAAGACAGGACATGGTGCGAGGCCCAGATACAAAGCTCGACTGGTGGGGAAAGGCTTTAGCCAGAAAAAAGGGGATCCTTTGATATGAAGATTGAGAAGTCAAGATGTGTTGATTGTTAGACAAGAAGTCAAGAAGATTGAGAAGCTAAAGTTAGAGCTGAAAAAATCCTTTGATATGAAGTATTTGGGACCAGCTAAACAAATTCTGGGTATGAGGATTCTCCGAGACAGGAAGAATAGAAAACTCTGGTTGTCTTAGGAGTACACTGAAAAGGTACTGGAAAGGTTCCATATGAGCAAGGCCAAACCAATTAACACTCAAATTTCAGTATATTTCAGATTGAGCTCACAATAGTGTCCTTCAAGTGAGAAGAAAAAGAAGAAACGAAGGGTGTACCTTATGCATTAGCCGTGCGAAGTCTGATGTATGCCATGGTATGCACTAGGCCAAACCTCACTAGGCTATTGTGAAGTGGATCCTCAAATACCTCTGAGGCACCTCCAAGATGAGTCTATGTTTTGGAAATGACAAGCCTGTTTTGGATGGCTACATAGATGCAGAAATGGTTGGTGGCATTGACTCAAGGAAGTCTACAAGGTACTTGGTTACCTACTCAAGGGGAGCAATCTCGTGGCAATTTAAGCTTCAGAAGTGTAATGCCTTGTCCACCATTGAAGCAAAATTAATAGATATTATAAAAGCAAGCAAGGAGTTGTTGTGGATGAAGAGACTTCCATAAGAACTTAGGCTAAAGCAAGAAAAATCTATTCTTTACTCAAATAGTCAGAGTGCCATCCATGTCAACAAGAACTTCACCTCCCATTCAAGATCCAAGCACATTGATGTTAAATATCATTGGATTCATGATGCCTTGGAAATAAAGTAGTTGGGACTTGATAAAATCCATATTGATGAGAAAGGATCAAATATGATGACTAAAACTGTGATTGTTGAAAGTTTATTATTTATGAAAATAAGGTAGGTAAGGTAGAACCCTCCTCATGAGTCAAGAGGGGGTATTTGTTGGGTTTTCCCTCCTCATGTAGAAGAAGAATTAAACATTCAGCAGTGACCTTACATCTTCAGCCTCGCGGATCATCCATGGACCTCACAAGTTAGTCGCAAACATCATGGAATATCTATAGACCTCATAGCTTCGTGGGATGATGGCCTTGCTAGCTCTGCCTCATCGCTCCTCGAACCTTGCTAGTTATTTGGTTTCATGTGTCATCTAGCATGCAACACCCTTTTTGGTATCGCTAGCTATCCTAGCCCTTTCTTACCTTGTTCCTCCTTTAGGCCTTGCTAATGGTGATTCCGCAGGCTTATGATGATCAATTGCCTTTTGACATGTAGGGTATCTTCAATGATTTATGCATTGGAAGATGAATGGTCACTCTTGTTTATTTATTTATGTGTCTTTGTTCATTTTTAGACTGAGTGAGAATGTGAGCTTGCATTAGCTACCTGTAATTAGTTTAAACGTGTGAACACCAAGTTCATCCTCTATAACAAAAAAGGAGATTTTATCTTCTTGATGCATTATCCTTTAGTAGAGACCAGAGAAGTTGTAACCCCACCATTCCAAGAGATAGTGGAAGTTCATCTAGACTAGTGTCTCGTGGTTTTCCCCTTTAGGTTTTCAAAAGGGTTTTTCACTTTAAAAATCTTGTGTGTTCTTTGGTTTTGTTCCTGCCCCGTTTATTTTTTTCTCCATTTTGCTAAGTTCACTTTTCAACTTCAAAGCTATACTCCTTTTTCTCAACAGATGGTTGGGAATATGAACATAATAGGTACACCCAAAGACTAAAGAGGAAGAGGGAAAAGATCCTCATCAGGGAATAAGAGATTGAAAGATGACTTGAAACCCAAAACATGAGAAGGCATATGATTTATCAAATATGTGGCAATAAGAACAACATCCTTGCAAAATTTTACTGGAACATCAGACGCAAAAAAAAGGCTTCTGGCAACTTCAACCACATGACGATTCTTCCTTTCTGCTATTCCATTTTGTTGTGGAGTATAGGTATATGAGCTTTGGTGAATAACCCCAAATCTGTCAAAATATGATGAAATGTTCTCCTCAGAATATTCCTTGGCATTATTAGAGTGGAATATTTTGATACAAATATTAAACTATAAGAAAAAAATCATGAAAATGTTGCACAATGGTTGGAATTTCATCATGGAAACACATGAGGTAAATCCAAGTAAATCAAGAGAAGTTGTCAACAAATATAATAAAATATTTATAGCCACTCATATCTAGTAAATGATAAGGCCCTCAAACATCAGAGTGAACAATACGAAAAGGAGAAATTGATCTTTAGTTACTTAATGGATAAGAATTTCTACAATGTTTGGGGAGTTCACATGATTCACAATGAAAACTAGACAAAATTATTCCTTTAAACAATTATGGAAACGAATGACTTAAAGTAGAAAAAGAAATATGACCAAA